TCCTCCATACTCATGTGTACTGTCCAGGTGTTCCACAATGAGTAAGAGGTATTTGCAAATGTATGTTGTTGTTGTTGTTGTTGTTAGGTGCCATCACGTCGGTTCCAACCCATAGTGACCTTAGTCACTACAGACCGAGCCGCTGCCTGGCCCGTGCCAGCCTCACGCTGGTCCTCATGCCTGAGCCCGTTGTTGCAGCCACTGTGTCCGTCCATCTCCTTGAGGCCTCCCTCCTCCTGGCTGCCCCACCCCCTTTACCCACCATGATGTCTACATATACATATATGTGTAGGAGCCATGGTGGTGTAGCTGCGACTCATTGGCTGTGATCCACAAAGTTGGCAGTTCAAAACTGCCAGCCGCTCTGCAGGAGAAAGAGGAGGCTTTTTGTTCCTATAGAGCAGCGGTTCTCAACCTGTGGGCTGCAACCCCTTTGGGGGTCGAGCGAGCCTTTCACAGGGGTTCCCTGATTCATAACAGTAGCAAAATGACAGCGATGACATAGCAACGAAAATAGTTTTATGGTTGGGGGGTCACCACCACATGAGGAACTGCATTAAAGGGTCGCAGCATTGGGAGGGTGGAGAACCCCTGCTCTAGAGGGTCACAATCAGTCACTGTGAGTTAGCCTGACTCAGTGACAGTGAGTATGTATATGCGTATAGAGATATATAGATGTTTATTATACACACGCAAGTTTAACATTGACGACAGAATGGGAGCCCTGAGCTGAAGACCACCCCAGACCAATTCCCAGACGCCCACAGCCCACCGCCATGACTCACCCCTGTCTGAGCCCACCGCCGTGAATGAAACGCCGGAACTGGGACTTGATAAAGTCACTGTCGCTCGCACACACCACACTCCTGGAAACCAAAGCCTGCTGGAAGGAGGAAGGCTTGCCTTGAGGAATGGGCCGGCAGCTGCCTGCAGCTTGACGCTGCTTGACAGTGTCTGCCCTCGGGAGGGGCTTTCTTTCCTGGCTGGAGATAAACCATCTATGAGAGTTTTGGCTTTGAATCAAGCTCCTCTCCACCACGATGCCTGTCCCACTGTGCTAAGAGCGATCTCATCTAAGGGGGTGGGTGTAGACAGTATCCTTGCGCGTGGGGTAAAGGATTGAAGAGTCCCTGCAGGGCCCACTCAGCTCTCTCCAAACCCCCAGTGCCCAGCACAGGGTTTGCAGAAAAGCCAGAAACCATTACCAAACGCATTGCCATCGAGTTGATTTTGGCTCGCAGTGGTCCTATGAGCAGAGTAGAATTGTCCGTAGCAATTCCAAGACTGTCACCGTTACAGCGTAGCTAGTGGGTTTGAACCAGTGACCGTCAACAGTGGCTCACCACAACACCCTCGGAACTGCTTCAAACACTGTGAGCTACAGCTCCAGAAAGCCTGCCACAGAGCCCGTCCCTCAGCCCTGGCCTCTGAGGCCCTGCCTGAGCGTCCCCACCTCTCTGTGTGGCCCTCATCTTGTTCCACGCCAGCCAGCCACAGCTTTCCCTGGGCAGGAGTGGCTTGAGAGTGGGCCGAGGCCACTGGCTTCAACACGGGCCAAAGATACTGAGTTGGGAATTGGGTTTGCAAGCTGGTGGCCCTGGAGCCTCCCAGGAATGCATTTCTGAGCTGGAAGAAGAAGGACGCTAGCAAGGCAGGGAGTGGAAACATGGCAGAGCCTGGAGACTCCCAGAGAATAACAAGCGTTGATTATATTGAGCGCAGCCATTGATTTTTGTCTAAATAAACATGGAAACAGCAGTGGGCATCTGTTTCAGATGGGATTCAATTGGCCCCCAATTGGGAGAAAATTTGGAAACACAAACAAGCACAAGAGAAAGTGATTGGGCCATCTTGGGTTGGGGGGCGGGGGAGAACGCAGACAGACAGACAGACTGACTTAGGCTTCCTCATTCTCTCCCTGCCAAGGTTCCTCTCTGTTTATTGCTTCTCACCAAATGTGGCTCTGATAATGGCAGGGGAAAATCGTGATCTTGTTATCCGTCTATCTGGCTGCCATCGGAGCGATGCCGACTCGATTCATAGCAACCCTACAGGATGGGGTAGACCTGCCCATGTGGGTTTCAGAGACTG